ACCCTGTGGAAGCTGAGTGAGGCAGCCCACATTGAGTTGACCAGAACTCGACCAGCTGGAGATTTTTGAGCCTGTGAACTGGTGCATATTGTTGCTGACTTTATGGATGGCCTGTCCAGATCTGACTGCTTACGGATGCAGACTTTACAGGCTTCCAACTGGAATGAAGACTCTTCATGTCGAAAAATATGATTGTCTTCTCAGAGAACTGGGTTGATGTAAGTGGACAGTATATAAATTGGATACCCAAAATTGGGGGAGCTAAAGGCATGAAGTGGTTGGCTTACAAACTTTCATAGGTGGGGGAAAAATTCACAGGATTATAGGATTAAGGTGTAGGTGTTACTTAATTGCAATTGTGAAACTAAAGAATTATGTAAAGGTGCCAGGTTAGCAAGGGGTGGATTGAGTTAGTTAGTTTATTGTGCCAACCTGGCCGATAAACACGTTTCTGTGGATTTGTTTCTCTAACGCACCCAGACTAATACATGGGGTGTTCAGCCCTTGCTTTCTCGCTCCTGTCCAGACAGTGATCAAGAATGATTAATAGGGCAGATGAATAAGGCTTACTTTGTTAAGCCCTTAGAGAGTTCACTAGGAACATAGGTATACACTGGGAATACTTGTCTGGAAAATATATGCCAATAGCCTAATATACTATGGTAAGTCCTTATGGGGTGGGATGGGTTTTGAGATTAGCTCTTGTTATACCTCTTTCTGAGAACAGCCTCTACCTGTAATACAACTTACTTGAAATGATTTTTGTGAAAATAATATTAATATTTTATTTCATAGGGAGTCAATATTGTACAAAAAGTTGCAAATTTTACAACCATGTACAGTTTGAATTTGATTTTGACATTTGCTGCCTTGGAGGTCTGGTTCTTTATAAAATGATATTAATTCATAGTATTATGAGGATTTTATAAGTGTGGTACAGTGAATTACTTGATATAGCTCTTCTGCCCACACTCTACGCAATTCCTACCAAATGAGAGTGTAGGACTACACAACTGTGAGATGTTTGTCACCCACCGAGGGGATTGGTTAGTTGGGTAATAAGGGAAATAATGCACATAAAGTTTGTGGAACCCTCATGTGGGGATTGGTTAGTTTTGCTATCCCACTAGGTTTAAAATGAGCCATTTCAGAAACGGGCATGTGAATCTCATTATCATCAAGAAAAAAGCTGCAGAATGGTGCGTATCCTTTGGATCTCAGGATCCTTGGATGGAACCTCCTCAATCCAGGAAACAGAACTATGACTAGACAGTGAGTTGCGTCTGAGAAGTGTTAAGAGTTGCAGTAGCAAAGGCAGCAGAACCAAGAGCATGAGACCGAACGGTGGTCTTCTGGCCCTTGCAGCGAGAAAGCTGGGTACCTTTGGGCAGGAGACTTGCTGGCAGAGAAGGATGCCTCTAGGAATTTAATTAGGCATAGCTAAATTTGCCAACCTACAGACCCAGATAGAGCTTTTTGGCTGAGGCTTACTGGTGGAGTGGGCACTTAATCAGGACTGAAGACAAGGAACCACGGGACTGAGAGGACCAGAGCTAAAAGAACTTTGTCTCACTTGCTCCAGCAGGCCATGAGCGAGGCTGGGTGTGGCTGCAAGCATGACTGAGAAGAGGTGCTATTGACCAAAGAACTGTATCCACACAGGTAACAGGAAGTTGGCATAAAATCTAACCACCACAACTCCTTTATGTCCATAGTGTTAAAGGCTATATTAACTAATAATGGACATATAAAGAGATCCCTGTCTATAGACGTTGTATATGTTACTGTTAGGTGCTGACGAGTGGATTCCAACTCACAGAAATCCTATGTCCAACAGAAGGAAAGGCCACCGGTCCTACACCATCCTCACAATTGTGCTTGGTTGAGTCCACTGTTGCAGCCACCTTGCTAATCCATCCCTTCGAGGGTCTTCCTCAGATCCCCTACTCTACCAAGCATGATGTCCTTTATCAGGGACTGGCCTCTCGTGATGATGACATGTCCACAGTATATGAGATTTCGCTCACCATCCTTGCTTCTAAGGAGCGTTCTGGCTGTACTTTTTCCAAGACAGATTTGTTTGTTCTTTTAGCGGTCCGTTTCTTTCAAAGGCGTTATCACTATTACTATCTCTCTCTCTATCTATTCATATGTTCTCATCGGCTGGCTTCTCA